TAAGATGACATATATTTTTCATCTAAGATAAAGATAAAGATACTTTGTATTTCTTCTTCTAGTTAAAGATAAAGATTATCCATTTCTTTATCTAGATGATTATCTAGATAATTTTATCTAGATATCAGCAAACACTGCATACAGATCATTCATATTATTTTGTGAGTTTATTAGCTACAATGACGTCTTGTATACATTAAAATATTTTAATTATGTCTACATATTGTACATGTCTGTACATAAATTGGAATTACAGAAATTGGTATTAGAAACGAAAAAACTCCTCGCAATTACTCTGATTCGCTCTACGAAGTCTATCCAATTAAAATTGAAGTTTCATTAAAATTGGAGAGCGGAGTTGAACGGTCTCTCGTTGAAAAAATTTCAGTCTCGCAAAAGTATGCATTTCGCGCGTTAACTGATTATTAAGTGTTATAACTTGAAGATACCGTGTCACTGCCAGATTACTAGGGGTATCGAGGCTAACTATAGGCATTTCGCGGCAGAAGGAAGCTCGCGTCGGGCGGCCGTTCCGTTATGGAATTTATACTCCACGGGCTAGAATACACATGATAAGGGAAAAGAGTGAAAGGATAAGGAGCGGCACACACAATGTAGGCCCGGGAGAGCCTTTCACGATTATCCATCACGAGCGACCGTCTCTTTCTCATCACGTTTCCGTCTCTTCCCGCTCTCCTCGCTCTCGCTCTCACCCTTTTATTTTCACTTACTCTCCCTTTCCCTGAGCCCTATTCTGTCTGCCTCCCGCGTGTTCCTGGCTACTTTCTACTTCTATATCCGCGAGAAACTATACAGGTACACATATGTGTCTACAAAATTAATTAATGTCCTATATGATAGATACGCGCGAAACGCATCGCGCGTGTTAAATAAATATCTTCTCACCTATGATTTTTTTTTCATACATTTTTCTCTAGCGAAAATATCAATAAATATCATTATTTGTTACATTCATTTTCGATTTGTAATCTTAATTTCTAATAATCTCAGAATTAAGGATGTATTGGAGATATATTACAATCAATGAGATCGCTGTGAATTTTTAATTTAACATTCTTAATAACATTCTAAATCGTCATGAATTATTTCAAATTTTTTTACTTGCTCCTTTAAAAGTTATTCATTTTTGAATTTTGCGATTTTAACATAGGATCTTATGTAAACGTTCAAGAGACAGGTAATAAATTATTTACAAACAAATAAGAACAATGATGAAAATTTCATTTTGTAATATTATATTCTTCATACATGTAAAAATGTTCCCACAAAGTTTTAAAACGATTTACTTACTCGTTTTGAAATTATTATGAAAAAATAACTGTGATTATCGGTTTGACGCAATATTGATGATAAAACGTGGCAACATTTTCTTAGAAATTAAGACCTATTTAAAGTTACCTATTTAGAAATTAAGACTATATTAAAGAATACTTTGAAGTATGATTTCGTGATTTTAAAAAAATTTTTCATCTATTAGAATTCGTATTCTGCCCAACTTTAATTTTTTGATACTTTGGATTAACTTTTGAGACAGACGGATCGTCCAATACATCCTTAAAAATAAATTAATTATAAAAACAATATTTTTAATTACTTTTTTTATTAAAATATTTTTATTATATACTTCCTTATTAAGATATTGTACATTTGTATCTATCGAAAAATTTTAAGTATTATGTTAAAATGTAGTGTTTTGTAAAAATTTAAAAATAATTAATTTAATAATATTATCAACATCAGATTAATATATGCGTTAAATATCTGCTGGTTATCTTAAAATTTCGAATCCATTGAAGACTGAAAGATAACACGCGTTGTTCTATCAATTTATATTATTGGAAATTTTCAATGGATTATAATTTAAAGATTATTAATTTCCAATATTTTTGAAGAAATTTAATTTTAAATTAATAAAAAAATTCTTAGAGGTAATATAGCTTAATAATCTATTTATCTAAGACACTCTATAGAGATTCCTGCGCAAAACTAACATTGGTTGAAAAGTATCGTCAATGCTTTCATACAACTGCATCGACACCGATCTCCCAGTGATTAAATCTAATCAGATATTCAAATAAGCTTAGTTTTTTATTATTTTATGTGCGAACATAATGGAATCTCTAAACTCGTATACACATATAACGGTAAGATGCAATGAAGTATAAGGATTTGAGAAAGTAGAAGCTTATAAATTAGACCGAGATTTGTTGCTTCCATTATTTTCACAATCTCTTATTACTCTCAGTTGCAATGAATACTCTCTTTGCAAATATTTTTTTTCAACGTATATTACTATAAATCTAACTAATTGTTAAGTTCATTGCTTATATAAGACAAAATTCGATATTATTTCGTTTTTGCAAAATTTAATTTTTATATCTTATAACTAAATGTAAAAAAAAATTTTTGCAGAATGTTTTGTTATTTAACAGCAGTCTTTAAATGTTAATAAGAAAAGATATTTTTTAATTACATTTATATTATTTATTATTTATATATTTATTATTATTATTTATATATTTATTTATTTATTATTATTATTTATATATTTATTTATTTATTATTATTATTTATTATTATTTATATATATATTTTATTATTTTAATTACATTTTAATTACACACATTGCATATAATTAAGATAATAATTAAATATTTTAATTTATTTAAATGCAAGTTTTGAAATTTATTTATGCATAAATGGCCTATTTCACTATTTATGTAAAATATCGCTAATATACAGAATCAATATAAACTTCTTTCAATAAAAATACACATTTTAATCATCTCGTCATACGGATTCAAGAGAGGAAATTTAAACATCTAAAGAAAGCTGTCTTTCGTTGCAAGATAGGAATTTATATGGGAGAAGTGAGAGTAATGTAACAAATTTTTACAGCAACTATTATTATAGATATTTCATGTAGGAAAGCTATTTATCATGTTTCGCTATAATTCTTTAACAAGTTCAAGTTTCTATAAACGATATGAAAATTTATGATATAAATCGAATTAAAAGAAAATTTACTTAATAAATATGGATGCCCCAAAATCGCTACATCTCCTTTCCGATATGAAAACAATTTTCACAAATATTAAATAAATCCAACAATTATAATTAAATTACTATTTTCAAACAATTATTTAATTTATCGATAAAATTCATTTTTTTTTATTTAAGTTATATCAATTTGCATTTTAAATTCTGCGATATTATAAACATATATTTGACATGCATCATGAAGAGAATATAATGTCGTTCCTTTTACTCACAACATTTCTCATCAGATATTCCGTCAGAATTCTCCTAATTAACGAGATTTATACGTTCATTAAATGAATTGTTCTTGTTTCAACTCTCTATACAATGCGCTTTCAGTAAAAAGATTTTTCTTCTAAAAAACCAGTAAAAGTATTTCTGATTAAAATACAGATAAAATTAAATAATTTAATGAAAATAACTTACTAAATAAATTTTATATAAATTTTATAGCAATTATATATAAAGTAATTTGCAAATAATTAGACAATTCTGTTATATCACAATCAAAAAACGGAGAATTTAACAAAATTATAATAAATACATTAAAAATTGTACTATATATTACGAGTAATAGTATAACATCGGAATCGCAGTGCTTTTAAATCTATAATATTTTTGCGTTACTATTTATTATTCACATACGATCGAATTAGTTTGCGATTTAGATTAGCGAATATCCGCAATCGATTAGAACCCGTATGAGACCTAATCAGCGGATGCGATTAATTTTTTGCACTTATTATAAGTAAGTCTTATCATTAAATCATGTCATGTACATGTATTAATATAATCATAGTAATTTTTACACAAAGTTACGTTATTATAGATTAGAAATACTTTATGAAGAAATATATTTTTCTTTTAGAGTGAGAGTTTTAACATTATAAAAATAATAAAATGTCAAAAATATTTCGACTATTTTAGACAGAATTATATTTATTTTTCATATAATTTATATATATGTATTTTTTATTATTTAAAATAACATTAATATCCATATAAATGTTTCATCAGAAACAATAATATAGATTATTAACGTATGATTAATATGATTGACTTGCGAATAAAGATAAAAGAGATATAATTTTTAGACATAATAAATGTATGTAAAAATGTACTTTCAACTATCATAAACGCATATTTCTTTCATGATGGAAATAGAGCAAAGACCCCTGAGAGATATGTCTTGCTGCTGGTATTTTCTAATTCATTTTATTGTGGAAATCGGGGAAAGCGCACAATCGACAGCAGCAATAATATTAATACTTAGATTTATTTATATTCGCTCACATATCGTGCCATAAATTAAACCAACCTGTCAATCCAACGCGTATATCACCGCTGTAGCGAGATAATTTTTATATAAAAATAACACAAGACAGAATATCAATCTATGCATCGAGTTATCTTAATAAAGATATCAATTAATCAAGATTTGCTAAAATAAGATGAGATTAATGAAGGAAGAAATATAATTCTTTTGAATAAAAATCTGTTCATTTTCAAGATTTCTTTGTAGAAAACACTTCGTGAATTGTAGAATATGTGCTATCGAAAATGCAGCTAGCGGCGATGTCAGATATTGATACATAAATCGTCTACATATGTCGACAAGGTCGAGAAAGCCCAGACGCAAATTTCTCTAGGATAAGAGTGTGGGTCACGGCCATTCTTGTTCATGAGAAACGCGTTATATGCATGTACAATATACATCGAACATCACCTGTCGAGTACATGTATTCGGAGTACGCGGCGAGGGATATGCGCCCACCAGTTTCGCCTGTTCGATTCCTTTCGGAGCGTTCCTCCGGACGGTTATACGTCCGGTTCTACCCATGAACTTCTTCGTTTCATCCCCACCCCCTCCTTCCGGTACTTCCTCCCGTCTGGAGGGACCTATATATATAGGTAAGATCGCGGCCGCAAATATATGACAGTGTGTGCCCGGTCACCGTGGTGAGCTGTGCGTGAAATTAGAGGCAAGGAAAGGGATCCGGGCGACCGGCTGTGTCCTGGATACCAGCATGGGACCCAAATACGCCGTAAGGAATTAAAGACGGACGGAAATCATTTGCCGAGAAATTAATACAGAGACTTCGGAGGTGGTTTTCGTAAAGTGGAATTCTTTCTTTCAAATCCGCGATCATGACTTTCGTGATTATAAATTGAAATTCTCAATCATTGGCCTTTCCACACATTGGTGTTTATATGATAATACTAAAGATAAGATGTGAAAATCATGTACATATTATTATGTACAAATTATTCCTTAAGAATTCTTAAGGGATACTTATAAGCACAATTATTCCAATTTTTTTAAAGACTACTTATAATTAAATAATTTGTAAATACAGGAAATCGTAAAAAACAAACACTTTCTTGGGTCACTACGAATATTTGAGGAGTGTAAAAATTGATAAATTATTAAGAAGATTTATTTAATTACAGATAAAGACTCTCGTCCTTGCAAGTATCCTATCAGTAGGCTTTGCAACTTTCGGACACGAGCAGTGAGTTTCAATTATCATTATAATATATAAAAATTCCAATTATTATCAAGTTATAAAAGTTTCAATTATTATATAAAATTAATTAACACGATTAAATTGTCGTTAGTTAAAAAATGCAATACTTTGTTAAAGTACTTAAAATAAAAAAAATTCCTTCTTTCTTCTTTAGCAGCACACAAGTATAATTATTCGTGATAAATAAATTATAAATTTTTATTATACTATTATACATCGAGATTTGTATCATCTGTTTAATCTGATTTGTATCGCGAGTAATTATTGTAACGTTTGAATATATACATAATTAATTTATATGGAAATATATGAAAGAATAAAAGGTTTTTTCAACACCTTAAGAAATACGTTAACCAGAACGCGTCGTTCTTTAATTTAAGGATACTTTTTATATTTCAGTGTACATATAAGGATACATTTACCAGAACAGCATCACGGCGGAGGAGGTCACGGAGGTGGAGGCGGTGATGATCACCATGTTGAGATAAGTGGCCCTGGGAAAGACATAGGAGGCGGTTACGGAGGTGGTCACGGTGGAGGTTTCGGTGGCGGTCACGGTGGAGGTTTTGGAGGAGGAGGCGGTCATGGCGGAGGTAAAAGCGAATTTTAATTGCATATTATTTTTTTGTATGAAAATTGAGATATAGAAACTTGAGATTGTCTATCTTAATATTTGTAGAAATATAAATAATAAAAATTTCTTAATGTTTATTATTTTTACCAGTTGTTCCATATAAAGTATTATCTTGTAACTGTAATTAATTGTGAATAATTTTTGATAAAAATTATTATTTATATTTTGTTGAATTAAATAAATTTATATCATAAATTTACAACATTTCGTTCTTAATGAGAACTTACAATCAAAGTTTCAAATAAGAAAGCATTATGATAATGACTTTTTTAGGTGGAGATATTATCGTAGTCCATGATGGCGGCCACGGTGGTGGCGGACATGGAGGAGGGGGTGGATTCGGAGGTGGCGGTCATGGAGGAGGATATGGAGGTGGTGGTGGATTCGGAGGTGGCGGTCACGGAGGAGGATATGGAGGGGGTGGCGGATTCGGAGGTGGCGGTCACGGAGGAGGATATGGAGGGGGTGGTGGATTCGGAGGAGGTCACGGCGGAGGTAAGAACGAATTACTCTCTAAAAGTGAAACAGTGTATTATCATTGAAAAACAGTAAATAGTTACTGATTACAGCAGTTATAAGTATAGCACTGTAAATCAGTGATATTTTATTGAAAGAATCAGTTAATAATTTTGACTGTTTCAATCAGTAATATTTCTCAATGTCAGTAATATTTCTTTCGTTATTGTCGGTAATATTAAACTGTAATTCATCTCTCTATCTATTTCATATGAAATTAAAAATTTTATTTATATTTACTAAATATTTATTATATTAAAAATTTTATTTTATTTATATTACATGCATATTGAACTTGTTATTTTAAATAGATAACGAACGAATAATTTTCATTAAGTCGCTAGATATTTATTTGTCCGACTTATAAAGATCGATTTAATATCTGAAACCTCTCTATGAGATTGTATCAGAAATTAAATCGAAGTAATACTTCTAATTTTAAATGTCGCTCTTTGCAAACTTTATATAATTCTTATAATTAAAATTAAATACGAGAGAGATAGCGATCGTAGCGGTAAATGAACAAACTAGCGATTACTGGTTTTACAGTGAAATTTACTGATTTTACAGTGAATTTTATTTTAACTGATCATAATCAGTGAGATATAAGATAAAATAACAAAAAAATAAGCGTTTCCACTGAAAATCAGTAAAATACTCACTGATTCTCAGTGAAATCTTATTTTACTGTTTAAATTAATGATATTTTCACTGATTCACTTTTAGAGAGTATGTTAAAAGGCATATTTTAGTTTTATATCATTCTTATTTCTCTTCATATTTCTTCAATATTTTATTTAGAGAAAATGCGTTGTAAACGTCATAAACAGAAAACAATAATCATAACAATTTTTAATTTCATTATAATAAGGTTAAAATGATGGTGATGACGCCAGCAAATTGAATAGCAAATTTTTTAATGGATACTGAGTCGAATTTTTAAATTTTATCTTGTTTTTGAAAGTGCTGAAAAAATTTTGTTTTCATTTGTAGAGAAATTATTAAAATTAAGTGATCGCATTATTTTAACAATTAGAGATTTCATGATTCGTAACAAAGGCGAAGAATTTTGAAATTGTCTATTTGGAGAATAATATATGTATTCATGGATATTTATAAACATGGATATTTATAATATATGTATTCATGGATATTTATAAACTGAATAGAAATTTTTGTTACTTTCACTTATTGTCCCATATAAAGCATTGTTCTGTAAATGTAACTTATTATGAAGATAATTTTTGATAATTGTACAATTATTATTTATTGCACGATTTTTACATGTACATGTTCAATTAAATAAATTTACATCATACTGTATTTAATGAGAATATTTACAATCAAAGAATATTTACAATCAAAGTTTTAAACAAAAGTTTTAAACAAAATGTCAAAATAATGATTTTTTTAAGGTGGAGATATTATCATAGAGGATAGCGGCCATGGCGATGATCATGGGGGAGGTTATGGAGGTGGCGGTGGATTCGGGGGCGGCTTCGGAGGAGGTCACGGCGGAGGTAAGATTAAATTATATATTATTTTAGATTATATATTATTTTATTATTTATATATTATCATTTCTTTATAATAATATATTAATAAATTTTTAACAGCATACACAACTTAATAAATTTTTGACAGAAAATATATTTCAATCGATGTAAGAATATCTTGTAAATATTGTCTAAAAAATAACTATATACAATTATGACAATTTTTAATTTTATTACAATAAAATTAAAATGCGATAATGCTAGGAAATTAAACAAAAAATTTCCAATTCGAATTTTTGAGTATTGAATATCTTATTTTTGTAAATACTGAAAAAGTTTTGCTCTCATGTGTACAAAAGTTAAAGATACCTTAAGTGATCATATTAGTTTAACTATTAAAAATTTAATGATGTAAGGGAAAGGACTTTTAGATTATCTATCTTAATATTTGTAGAATATATACAGGCTGTCCCAAAAGTCCCGGACCGGTCGAATATTTCATAAACTATGCACTTTAGAAAGAAATGTTTCAGACAAAAGTTGTATGGCTTGAAGGGGGCCATCAGATAGTGGCAATGATTCGATATGGGAGAGTCATTTGAAAGTCACGTGAAGATCACCGTCAATTTCTTAAATGGAACTCCCTATTTTTTATTACATATTCGTGTAGCTTATCTCAGGAGCTTTCCAAAACATTATAATAAAGTATTTCTTCATTGAGTACTTTTCGAGTTATGAGACGTAAAATCATTTCTGAATTTTACATAAACCATAAAATATCTAGTAAAATATTCATTTTTCGATTATCTTAATAAATAATTTTATGTACAAAATAATGAGAGGAATCAATTGGTGTAAAGAAAACACATAGTTGTTTAAAAAAAAAATACGTAATTGTTAATTGCAAATTACATATTTTTCTTAAAAACAACTATGTTTTTTCTTTACACAAATTAATTCCTCTCATTATTTTGTACATAAAATTATTATGGTAGATAATCGAAAAATGAATATTTTACAAGATATTTTACGGTTTATGTAAAATTAAGAAATGATTTCAAGCCTCATAATTCGGAAAGTACTTAATGAAGAAATACTTTATTATAGTGTTTTGGAAAGCTCTCGAGATAAGCTACAAGAATATTTAATAAAAAATAGGGAGTTCCATTTAAGAAATTGACGGTGATTTTCACGTTACTTTCAAATGACTCTCCCATGTCAAATCATTGCTACTATCTGATGGCCTCCTTCAAGCCATACAACTTTTGTCTGAAACATTTCTTTCTAAAGTGCATAGTTTATGAAATATTCGACTGGTCCGGTACTTTTGGGACACCTTGTATACTCACAAGTAGTTAGAAAAAATATAGTAGTTAGAAATTTTTTTTATTTCCATCGATTGTGCTCCATATAAAGTATTGTCATGTAAATGTAGTTAATTATGAATGTTTCTTGATAAAAATCGTGCAATTATTATTTATTTTGTATGTATGTTAAATAAATTTACATTAAATCTTCTCTAATGAGAATATATACAATCAAAATTTCAAACAACAAGATGTCAAGAATGATTTTTTTAGGTGGAGATATTATCGTAGACCACGGAGGCGACCACGGTGGCGGAGGAGGGTATGGAGGTGGTGGTGGATTCGGGGGTGGTCACGGAGGAGGGCATGGAGGTGGTGGTGGATTCGGGGGTGGTCACGGAGGAGGGTATGGAGGTGGCGGTGGATTCGGGGGTGGCTTCGGAGGAGGTCACGGCGGAGGTAAAAGCGAATTATATTAAAAGTATATTTCAGTTTTATATCTTTTCTTCATATTTTTGATATTTTGATATTTTTGATTTTTTAATTTTCTTCTTTATAAAATAAACTTTTGATGAAAGAGATATATTATACTCGATGCAAAAATGCATTGTATTGTAAGTATTGTTTAAAAAGAATAACAATTTGCAAACAACTTTTTAACTTATCATGATAAAATTAAAATGTAATAACGCCAGCAGTAAATTTTTGAATATATACTGAATCGAGTTTTATCTCGTTCTTTTTTCATGGGTATTTATAAAAAGACTCATAATTTTTTTTACCTTCTTTCATTATTCCATTTAAAGCATTTTGTAAATTAAATAATTATATAAATATAATTATTGATGAAAATTGTGCAATTATTACTTATATTTTACGTATATTCAACTAAATAAATTTACATTATATTTTTTTAATGAAAACATTTACAATCAAAATTTCAAACAACGAAATGTTAACATAATGATTTTTTAGGCGGCGATATTATCGTACACAGTAGCGGCGGTGGAGGAGGCCACGGAGGAGGATATGGAGGTGGCGGTGGATTCGGAGGTGGCTTCGGAGGAGGTCACGGTGGAGGTTTCGGAGGAGGCCATGGCGGAGGTAAGCGAGTATTAAACGCATATTTTAGTTTTATATTAATTGACATAATAAATATTATTTGAGATTGCCTATCTTAATATTTGGACAATATATTCACACATTTACGGATATTTATAAAATGAAATTTTTGTTACTTTCATTTCATGTTCTATATAAAGCATTATTTCATAAATGTAACTAATTATAAATATAATTCTTGATAAAAAATTAAACAATTATTTATTTTATGTATATCCAGATAAAATATCATATTTATTTTTTTAATGCGAACATTTACAATTAAAGTTTCAAACAACAAAGTATCAGGATAATAATTTTTTTTAGGTGGAGATATTATCGTAGATCACGGTGGTGGCCATGGCGGTGGTCATGGGGGAGGGTACGGAGGTGGCGGTGGATTCGGAGGTGGCGGTCACGGAGGAGGGCATGGAGGTGGTGGTGGATTCGGGGGTGGCTTCGGAGGAGGTCATGGTGGCGGAGGTAAGAGCAAATTATATTTTTATTTTAATTTCTTCATAAAACTAAAAGTTTAAATTTTATAAAGATTATGCGATTATTATTATTTAATGTGCGCGTATGTTAAATTTTGCGTTTTTAAATATTTTTTTAAATTTCTTTATAAGTATTTTTTAATAATAATATTTAATAATAATAATTTGTTTTACTTAAATATTTTTTAAATTTCTTTATAAAACTAAAAGTTTAAATTTTATAAAGATTATGCGATTATTATTATTTAATGTGCGCGTATGTTAAATTTTTCGTTTTTAAATATTTTTTTTAAATGAGAATTTATTTACGATCAAAATTTCAAACAAAATATCACGATAATGAGTTTTTTGGTGGAATATTATTTCAGGTGGTCATGGAGGCGGGTACGGAGGTGGTGGATTTGGCGGCGGATTTGGGGGTGGACATGACACAGGTGGCGATGATCATCATAGCTCCAGCAGTTATGGCAATAGTATATCGTCTGGTTTCGGTAGCAGGTAAATTGGAGCAATTTGCAAAGAGCTGATTGCTATAAATACAAAGATATATTTAGAATGAGAAAAATCTCGATTGTTCTATATAAACTTGTATATATACAGAGTGTCCCATTTTAAATAATACGCTCAAATATCTTCGAAACGGTGCGTTAAATAAAAAAATTATTCAAACAAAAGTTGTATTATTGTAATAATATCTAGTAAAATATTCATTTTTCGATTATCTTACCTTAATATTTTTATGTACAAAATAATGAGAGGAATCAATTGGTGTAAAGAAAACACATAGTTGTTTTTTCTCTTTACACCAATTGATTTCTCTCATTATTTTGTAAATAAATATTATTTTGTACATAAAAATAATAAATATTATTGTGTACATAAAAATAATAAATATTATTTTGTACATAAAAGTATTAAGGTAACATAATCGAAAAATGAATATTTTACCAGATATTATATGGTTTATATAAAATTAAGAAACTCAAGCCTCATAACTCGAAAAATACTCAATGAAGAAATACTTTATTATAATGTTTTGGAAAGCTCTCGAGATGAGTTACAAGAATAAGTAAAAAATAGGTTCTGTTTAAAAAATTGAAAGTGACCTTCAAACGACTCTCAAAGCCAAATTATTGCCACTATCTGATTGCCTCTTTTAAACCATATAACTTTTGTTTGAAAAATTTTTTTATTTAACGTACTGTTTCGGAGATATTTGATCGTATTATTTTAAATGGGACACCTTGTATATACGAATATATTCTCGTATAACATATTATATTAATATGTTATTATATTAATGTTATTATATTAATATATTAATATCTTTCAGTGGCAGTGGCGGAAGCAGTTACGGCGGTAGTTTTGATTCATATTCGAGTGGTCATGGCGGTGGTGGTGGTGGCGATAGTGGAGGCCATGGTGGAGGTTTTTCTGGTTACCACAAGAAAAAATAAGAGTTATCGCGCTTTGACCAATATGTTGCGCAAAACATGCATTGGAAACATCTCTATACTTATTAATTCAATTTCAATTGATCAGTATCAGTATAAATTTGAATATTCTTTAATAATAATCACAGTATTATCATTTTGATAATGATATAACAATCAAAAAGTGTGTCGCACAATAATGTGTGAATGTTCTTTTATGATTTCTGTACATTTCTGTAAATTGAATAATAGTCAATCGATTGAAATTTGTTTTCATCAATGGAATCGTTTTATGTTAAAGAAACGATTTAAAATGTTATTATTTTTAAACTATTACAAAAGAATATTACAAAATTTTTTTACAAATTTTGTTTACACATTTCTATTACATTTTCAGATTTTATACAGATATTACTCTCATCGATGATAGATATCGATGACGGCAGAATATAAAATGCAACAGTTTTACTGATTTTGCGGAAGATTTTTACGTGACGAACAAAATGACAACAAAATAACGGTTACTCAATGACAACAAGAAACTGATAATTAAAATTTATAGTCTTCCACAAAGCTTAGAGACAGGAAAAATTATAAATGATCAAAAATTGCTTTTTTAAAATATCAAGATAAAATTGATAAAAAAAATTTATTTAAAGTTTTTTTGAAAGAAAAAATATTTTTCGTATTATAGAGCTTTCTTATATTAACATTAGACGGAAAAACTTGACCGACACATTTGACATTATGACATATAGACATTTTTTTCTTAGTTGACTATAACTAAGCAGCAAACTAACTCCCAAATTGACATTGACATTGATTTAATTTGACTTTTTACGACAATGACACATTTATGACGATTCAAAAATCATTACAAAAGTAAACAATTTTATTTAATTATAAGTTAAATATTTAAACTTATTTATATATTATATCACAAGTGTTTTATATTATGAATCTTATTATAACTGAAATTATCGATTTTATTGTTGATGACAATTTCAGAAATGACAAGTGTACTAGGAATATTAATAACTGAATTTACACTTAAGTTCAAGTAATCTTTAAGATAGATTACCGACCATTTAAACCATTTTGTGATAAAAGCGCATGTCGCTATAACTCATTATTACACGATCATGTTTATATATTTCTATACCTCATTGTTAAATCCGGCACGCATTTCAATTTTAGATCTTTATGTGCCTTGTTCATCTTGGCGATTAGTATTACGCATACATATAAACGCAATATTGCGATTTACTCATTTGAATGTATATTCAAAGCAAACATGTTGTATTTGTACATATATTACGTTTTGTAAATAGAGCAATTTGTGTGTGTTATAATGTTATTTTTAATAAAGTTTTTTATGTGTTTTTAATAATACCATTGTTTAATATCCACTATAATATACCTCTTTCTGTATCAATAGAATAATAATATATTTCTTTATAGTATAATAATTTTTTACAATTATTTGATAAATGTGCAATTTTATCTATGAATTCTAAAAGAATAAAAAACTTTTTTTAATGCAAAAATATCAGAAATATTTAACCAATAAATATTCATGCTAATAAAAATAAAAGAATGTAAAGATACACTTGTTTTTAATTTTTAAATATATGTATTGATAAAATTTCACATTTTAAAAATAACGCTCAAGTAGTATTAAGTTAAAAGCAATCTTGTAGGAAGAAATTGCTTTTTAATGTAATATAACGAAATAATCGTCCTATTAGTGATATTTTATTTGAAAATGTTCAATATAATTCATGTGTAGTATACAAACGTGAAAATTTTCCACTTTCACTTATATTTTTTGATTTTTTCTCCACTAATATTATATCATTGCTAATATTTAATACTTGCCCATTCCATCATTAATATTTTTATAGTCATTAATCATGAAAAATGACATGAAAAGCATTATAGGAAATGATTTACGAAGAAGGCTTATGATTAACTAACATATAAATTATAGCCTTTCATGTTTTCTCATTTACAATTAACATCTTATGATGTAAAAATAAAAATATCTGACGACATGATAATATTAACTGTTTTGTTTGAGAAAGATTTATTAAACGCATTTACATAAATTGCATTGATATAACGATAATGATAATAAAGAATATGTTTGACTTTTATATATTTATATTTTTTTGTCACCTAAAACCCAATTTTTCTATTATTTTTCTTTCAGAGTATACAAGTTTAAAAAGAATTATATAAATATTAAAGCGGAAAACTTTTTATATTTTTATAAATTTTTTAAATATTTTTTTAAGTAAAGTGGAACGATCTTTAATTGCCATAATGTCAACAAAAATGAATTTCTTTTAGAAAAATAAACTAGCACGAACAAAATTCTTAACTTCTAAGAATATGCAACCCGAAGTACTTGCTTGCATTTCTGATGCAAATATAATTCGGAATATTAAAAATAACTTGCGATATCAATATCATTGAAAATATATTAATTATCCTTTGAAATAAATAATACTGTATAATCTCTATAATTTTCACTATTTTATTTTTGCACAGATTTATTTTAATATTTAAACATATATCTTGCTATTTTCTTAGTAACCTATTTTATTTGGAAATAAGTTTAATGCAAATATAATTTTTTTATTAAAAAATATGTCAACATAAAATTAAATATTAATTACACAGGCCTAGGAAATTTTAGGTTCGATTAGTTACAAAAAGTAGAATAGATAAATCTGATTTTTTAACGCTGAAAACGAATCTAGTTGCAGAATTTCTTCAGCATTTTTGAGTAATTTATAGTTAAATAGTCCAAAAATGACTATTTTGATCAATTTTATGAATTTTTATTATGAGAGAACATAATTTTTTGAAATATTTCTGCCAATGACCTCGTAGTATAGTCATAGTATTAGTCTTAAATTTTTAAACGTCGCCTGTCATTTTTTTAAATTAAAAATGGCGGATCCAACATGGCGGACAGAATCACATTAAAAAGATATAAAATTTAGAAAAATTTATCAATGTAACAACTGTATTTCCAGAACTTTTTTTGACAACCGAACCTAACAGATGTAAGGCTTTCCAAATTTCAAGATGGCGGATCTGTCGTACTGATACTTATGCTGATTTTCTTTAACGTAAATTTTTTAGAAAATCTTAGAAAATAAATTTCTTAGAACTTCATACTTGTATATCTCAACAAAAAAATCGTACAATGGTAATCAAAAATGGAAAGATAAAGACTAGTGCTATACTATTGGCGGAATTCAAAAATTATATTTCAAAAAATTAAGGCCCATAAAATTCATAAAATTTGCCAAAATTGCTATTTTTGGACTATTTAATTATAAGTTACTCGAAAACCTGACATGCTGGGAAAATTCTGCGGCCAGATTTGTTTTCAGCGTTAAAAAATCTATTAGATTTATCTACTCTGTTTTTTGTAACTGACCTTCGCAGGCCGTGTTATCAAACTTATTTTCGTTTCCGCGTTAGTAATTTTATTGATTTGTACTTTGTTAGGTATGATTCTATTCCTATAGAGTGTATATTACGTATAGACATAAGCATAATTTTCACTTCCTAAATAATATTAATTTCGCTTGTGATTCAATCATCGATAGCTCTTAACGTCATGATAAAATCGGATTCATAAGATCGTAAAAGTCCGTTGGTGTTGGATTAGTTCGAAATGGAAAGTAAGTGGACAGTGAAAGAACGAATCACATGATAAACGGGGCGCGATTTCACTCGTATGCATGTACATATTGTACATGCATTGCGAAGCACAACATGTAAAACGAATATAGTGGACTTCATGTTAATTTGCGAAAAATTTTAAATAAATACATAATTACTAATGCAAAGAACTCTCGTTATTAACTAAAAGAAAGTGGAAGGCAAAAATTAAGAGAGTTAATGAATGTGTAAGAGATACATCTCGCAGAGCGTGCATCATTTAAAAAATGTATTTCCTCATTTCTATAAGCGATAATAAATCAAATTTACAATTTATTTTATAAACAAAATTAGATTATTCAGTTATGGAACAATTTTATGTATATATTATTCCCTTGTGTTTAATTTTTCTCTTACTTTCTAACATTATTGCATTCTGATATATTTTGGAAAAACTAAAATCTATTTGCTTTAATTAATTGAAGAATAATTTCCGTTAATTTCTATTCGAAAGAGAAATTATAAAATTTCTGATTTTAACATTTCTTTTTTTAACACTTCTAAATTAGATAAGATTCCAAGATATCATGCCCGGGAAAGGTACGAGCGGTATATCCACTAAGTGATGCGTGAAGTTGTAATAGGAAGTCCGTGAAAATTGCGTTTATAACAATACGCGCGCGTAAAACCGCATATAAGATTTCAAGTAAAAACTTAAGTGAGAGTGAGATTTGAGGCAGGGTGGTGCACATAGGAACTGTTTCTCGTGCACCGCTCACACACGGTTCATTGATTATGTTTCTGTTTATAAGGCTGACCGTAAAACAGACTTTTATTAGTTATCGTACAGTCGTAGTTTCGGAAGAATTGAACGTCTATTGCGTCTAAAACATGGTTAGGCTTGAAACATATGTGAGTGTCAATCAATTTATGGATGTGAATTTGTTAAGTGAGATTCGTTTGGTTTGATCGCATGAAAATGGATATTTCCAAAAGTGATTTTCTTATTTATTTCCTTCTCCTCAAATGTAATTGTTGAAAGACAAAGTTTACGATTTACTTTTAATCCGACCGAAAATTAAACCGTGAATTTATTAATCTTATCTTATTTCTATTAATCTTATGCATGGGAAGATAGCAATCTCTCTTTGAATTCTCCAAAATCAAATTTTTTTGTGATGTATTTTTTAAATTTATTTCTTCCATTTTAAATATAATCGTTGAAAGACAAGGTTTATGATCTACTTTTAATCTGACCGAAAATTATGAATGTATTTTTTATTAATGTTATATGCATGGGAAGATAACAATCTCTCTTTAAATTCAAAATTAAAATTCAAAATTAAAATCTTTTATGATATAATTTAATAATCTTAGACTTTACTTTCGCCGCCATAAATAAAAAAAATGTATCTCTTTAAATTAAGTATTTCTTGTTTCATACATATAAATATCTATAGTTGAATTCGTATAGTTGAATATCGTGTTTTTATAAAAACTCTTGTATATTTTATAATAACTCTTTTTATGAAAATTCTGGTAAATATATATATATATATATATATATATATAAATATGTATAAATATTTTAGAAAGATATGGATGCGAATAGCATTATTCTGATTTATCAAACTATTAATTTAATTCTGATTTAATTCAAAGACTAACTTTCTTGACTAACCTTATTTTACAGGTAGAATAATTTTCGATATGAGACAATTATGAATAGAGAATTATGATTTTTGAAACAATTGTATTAAATATTGGATATAATTTTTATTCATAATTTTTACCCAAGAAATGGAAATCATTATATTTTAATAACAGATTGACAAAAATTTTTTAATTTAAATTTTTTGCAACATTTTAAAATTTAAATTAGCAAAAAAAAATTAAAGATATGAATGAAATTAAAAATAATAAAATATAAATGAGATATTTTTTCTATGGAAAAGGAAGCTATTTCGAATAGTTTTAATCATGCGCGCGAGGATCAGTTTATTAATATCATACAGTTTCACCCAATATATGATTGTAATTTTACATTTACTTCGATCACTACCGCTTCCTGATAAATGATAGTATACGATCGAATCATACTTTCTCCGGTCACATTACCGTGAAAGACAAGGTATCTATTTCTAATTCCCGATTGAGAATTAAGCCGTGAATATATTTCTATTAATGTTAGATGTATGGGAAGATGGCAATCTCTCTCCGAATTCTCCAAAGCAAAATCTCTTATAACATATTTACGTAATATTTTTTTCTGTTTTAGGTTCTACTTTCGCTGATTCTCGCAGTGACATTAGTATCAACGGCGCCGCATCCCGATCATGATGATCACGAACAGTATTTTTTCCTTTTTTCCGTTAAATTATTGCTTTTACAAGTTTTTTTTAGAGATAATATATAGTTCAAACTTTTTAATATACATATATAAATATAATAAGAACATTTAGAAAAAGAGAAAAATTGTTTCTAGCACTCACTTCATCATCCACGTGCCACATCATATCCACAAGCATTATCATAAGCATGTGAAGAAGATTTATATACCGGTAAAAAAATCGGAGCACCATGATCATCACGACCATCATGATTACGAATAATCGATAAATCATTTCATAAAAATTGATAAATATCGATAAATATTTCATAAATTATTTCATAAAAAATCAAAAAGAAAATGGCATAAGAGCCAACGCGCGAGAAGCAATAGCACTTCTTTCTTTTTTCAATATTAGTTTATTAAAAAATTATAATAACAAAAAACGAACGTTTCGGATCATCTTTTGATCCTTCTTCAGCGCGATGTTAACAATATATATATTACAGATAGTGACACGTTACATTAAATGAATTTATTCTCGACGTGTAGGTAATGCTAAATTGCATCCCGCGGAGGTCTTGTAAGCACTCTGCTTTCAACAGTTAATTAAATATACTACAGTTATGTTATGCGACATCAGCAGATCTAGCAAATCTAGTAAAAATAACGAAATAAATAATTTGTTTCATGATTAAAAAACTGATCACGATAGGATTATTTAATCAAGATTACTGTGAACTGTTTGTTGATTGTTTTACACTGTTAATTTTGCAAAATAAATTATATGTTATATATATTTATTTAGGATCAATTCATATTTAACTAATAATTCTCTTGTGCTTTCTGCGAATGCATGTTTCTAAAGATAAGCGTATGCATGATTATTACTTTTCCCTCCCTTTCTGTAATGTTCCTGAAGAAGCGATATGATTTTAAGAAATTATTAGACGAAATATATCCATGATTTAATTAAAAAAATGATAATGATTAAATATCAATGATATTTTACGAGATATTTGAAACTTGAAATTTTTTCAAGCAATTAATAAAAGCAAGGAATATAAATATATCAAGTACAGGATATCTTTTTTGTATCACACATTTATTAAAAAATAATGACAATATAAAAATATGTACAAGTATCTTCGTTAATATACACGCGTGTATACAGAGTATTTGGTTCTTATGCTAAATCTTAAAATGCTATACAGGGGGCTCGAGTAATTTTGTACTGCTCGGTTTCGTTTTCATTTGTATTCGATGAGAAAAACTCCTTATCTTAAGTCCGTTTTGAGGAGAATGAATTTTCTATTTGTTTTATTTACTCGAATTCCACCTTGTATAATAACCTGCAAATCAATGGTTTATGTGAATCGTTGAATCAATTTTTTAATATTTTACTCTTATAATACTCTTATAATAAGATTGTAGAAATTCATTAAAAATGTTAATGATCGCTATATATATATATATATATATATATATATATATATATATATATATATATATACAGGGTGTCACTTTAATTGACTTTAATTGACGCCCTATTTATATAGCGATATTCCTCGTGAAAAACTGAGTCGAAAAGTTCCGAACCATTTTTCTCTATAATGAAAAAAATTTGAAACCATTTTTTTGAAATCATTTTTTTTTTAAACCATTTTTTTCCATAATGCGAAAAACTTTATTTTGCATTAAAAATCATATTTCTTCCGTTAAAAGGGTTTCTTTAAAGAAAATTTCGTTAAGGAAGCTAAAGGTCGGTGCTTATTGGCGCAACTTTACTCAATAATTATTGCTTTATTAAGCATTATAGAAAAAAATGGTTCAGGACTTTTCTACTCAGTTTTCCACGAGGAATATTGCTATATAAATAGTGGGCGCCAATTAAGTGACACCCTGTATACAGAGTATCCCAAAAGTATCGGACTGGTCGAATATTTCATAAACTATGCACTTTAGAAAGAAATGTTTCAAACAAAAGTTGTATGGCTTGAAGGGGGTCATCAGATAGTGGCTATGATTTGACATGGGAGAGTCATTTGAAAATCAGGTGAAGATCACCGTCAATTTCTTAAATAGAACCCCCTATTTTTATTACATATTCGTGTAGCTTATCTCAAGAGCTTTCCAAAACATTATAATAAAGTATTTCTTCATTGAGTACTTTTCGAGTTATGAGCCGTAAAATCATTTCTGAATTTGCATAAACCATAAAATATCTAGTAAAATATTCATTTTTCGATTATCTTACCTTAATAATTTTATGTACAAAATAATGAAAGGAATCAATTGGTGTAAAGAAAACACATAGTTGTTTAAAAAAAAAATACGTAATTGTTAATTGCAAATTACATATTTTTTTCTTAAAAACAACTATGTTTTTTCTATAGACCAACTGATTTCTCTCATTATTTTGTATATAAAAGTATTAAGGTAAGATAATCGAAAAATGAATATTTTACTAGATATTTTATGGTTTATGCAAAATTAAGAAATGATTTCAAGGCCTCATAACTCGAAAAGTACTCAATAGAAGAAATACATTATTATAGTGTTTTGGAAAGCTCTCGAGATAAGCTACACAAATATGTAATAAAAAATAGGGGATTCCATTTAAGAAATTGACGGTGATTTTCACGTGACTTTCAAATGACTCTCCCATGTCAAATTATTGCCACTATCTGATGGCCCCCTTCAAGCCATACAACTTTTGTTTGAAACATTTCTTTCTAAAGTACATAGTTTATGAAATATTTAACCGGTCCGGGACTATTGGGATACTCTGTATATACTTTTTTATCTTATTGTTTTACTACATAAATTATCGCAATTTATTTCAAATTGTAAATGAATAATACAAACCTAAGATAATTACGATAAAGCGTTGTCTAATACCAACCCCCATGAAACTTCTCTTCATGTACGGGCACATGAACAGGTACGGGAACTTTTTCTACAACCGGGTAAGGTACGGGAACTTTCTCGACGTGATGCACAGGTACTGGAACAGGTACCTTCTCGACGTGATGTATCGGAATTGGAACAGGAACGGATACCTTTTCGACGTGATGTACCGGTACGTGCACCTTCTTCACATGATGATGGTGAATCGTGTGCACTTTGTAAGGCACATGAATCACGACGTGTTCACTGAAGAGAGTGCAATTATTGTTTACGTTATGTCATGTATATTCATTTTTATTAAATTACATTTATATATATTAACATGATATATCTCTCTACCAACACATTCTTATCGAATTATACTTATTACATACACTGTAAAAAATTTTTGTGTAAATTTACAACTATTATAGTGGGTAATATTAAGACCAACTATTAAAGGTGTATATTTACATACATTAGTAAATTTACATTTCATAGATAAAATTATTATCTTAAATGATAAGTAAGCATCTTGTACTAATAAATTTACATGTTAGAAGTAGATTTCTAGAAATGTTTATGTAATAATACATTTTGTATATGTATTTATACAATTTCACATATTAAATTTAATTGAAAATTACATACATAATTAGTGTAACAATTATGCTTTTTATAACGAAAATATATAAATTCATGTACTTTTACAAAAATTTTACTCTTTATTGTGTAAATATTCGTTTATATTTGATAAGAAATTACAAGGTTAAAAGTGTAATTTTTAAATTTTATATAAATGTTGCAAAAAATTGTACATTTACATAAAATCCAAAAATTACTTTTTTAACCTTAATTTCTTATTAAATATAAACAAATATTTATACAAATATTTATTAAATATAAACAAATATTTATTAAATATAAACAAATATTTACACAATAAAGAGTAAAATAACTAATTTTTGTCAAAGTACATGAATTTATATATTTCCGTTATAAATAGCATAATTATTACACTGATTATATGTGTAATTTTACATACTTTTTTTACAGTGTATATTACAATTTTCTTAGAAAGCGATAGAATATTAGCAAAAAGTCAAGTTTGATATTTAATAATTAGATAAAAAAAGAACGTTGAAAAGAACTACACTTACTGATGGTGGCCCCCCGGTAGCGGTGTTGCCAAAGCCACGGCCATTATTCCGAACACGAGCAACTGTAATACGAGAGGGAATTGCGGTTTGTTTGTAATGTCGAAAGTGCATCGCGCCAAGAGGTCATTTAAATGCACGGCATTTTTCTTTTCTTTTTATCCGTTTCACCATTCTTGTCGTTTCTTTTATACTATTGTGCACGGCGGCGATGAAAAGCACGGTGCTTCTAATTCAAACAGCGACACAGACATCATTTCTTTAGATTCAAGAATTTCGAATTCAATAGTTTCGATATTTTTTCATTTTTTTTCTCTTTTGAGAATTTTTTAATATTATAAAGTATTTGTATGATCTTATTGATATAAAGAAAAATATTGTTTGAAAAAGATGCATTTAAGGATGTTCTATATCTAAAATCGCAGCAAAAAGTAGCTGAAAATCAATATTGACGAATATCCAGTTTGGTGAATTTTGAGTAAGAAATTGTGTAAAATATTACAATTTGATCTTGGTTACAGTGCAGATGTATTCTTTAATATTTATTGCATTGTTACTGAAATATTCCGAATTTTGTTAATTGAAAGGATTAAGGATGTATTAGAGATATATTACAATCAATGAGATCGCCATGAATTTTTAATTTAACATTCTTAATAACATTCTAAATCGTCATGAATTATTTCAAATTTTTTTACTTGCTCCTTTAAAGTTATTCATTTTTGAATTTTGCGATTTTAACATAGGATCTTAGGATCAACGTACAATAGTATCTTATAAACGTTCAAGAGACAGGTAATAAATTATTCACAAACTATAAAAAAACAATGATAAAAATTTCATTTGTGTAATATTATATTCTTCATACATGTAAAAATGTTCCCACAAAGTTTTAAAACGATTTACTTGCTCGTTTTGAAATTATTATTAAAAAATAACTGTGATTATCAGTTTGACGCAATATTGATGATAAAACGTGGCAACATTTTCTTGGAAATTAAGACCTATTTATATTAAAGAATACTTTGAAGTATGATTTCGTGATTTTTAAAAAATTTTTGATCAATTAGAATTCGTATTCTGCCCAACTTTAATTTTTTGATACTTTGGATTAACTTTTGAGACAGACAGTCCGTCCAATACATTCTTACTGAGATTAACTTTTGGCAGAGAATTTCGCCTTGTGACAGATACATGGCTAACTTCATTGAATTATATTTAATATCTTTTTAACCAGTTAGTACTTGTATAATATCATTTGTCCAGATATTTCCTCTGTATCTAAACTTTTGCAAATTTTAAACAAATTCTGAATATTATTTCCATGTGTTTTTGTCATTTGAATCGACGTGGTTATACGTTTCCCATAAGAACACATGTTAATTCAGTGCAAATTAAAATTCTTATAACTTGTGAACGCTTTAAAAATTGTACTGAAAATTCTAAACATATGTAAGGATATTCTGTACAATTTTCATTAAATTCTCAATATTTTGAAAATAGGTACAAAACATCCTTAAAAGTATTGTGTAATTTTACAGAAGATTTTTGAGAGCGACTGTTCATTCTGTCAAATATCTGACTGTCAAGTATCATTTGAGTTAGCGCGTAATTTAATTTAAATAAGTACGAGATCACGATTGAAATATTTTTGAGGAATCTCAAGAGAAATTCTCTGAAAAGCAATCTTGAAATCACATAATTTGCGCACAAAATTAACGCGAATACACACTCAGCTTCGTACGAAAGGCGCGTCAAAAGCACTGGCGGCCACAAAAAACTAACGAAGAACGTCCGAAAATTTAAATACGACGAAACAATACTGTGTATATTATAAATAATCACTCACAGTGATTGCGTGGGAGCGCATCTTGGATTCGGTCTGTCTCTTAATCTCGATCTTGATTACTTTGGAAAAAGATTCGCGCCGACTGGTGCGTGCTGTGCGTTGCAAACTGCCTTGTTTGTCGAACTGTGTTTGATACGATTCTGCGTTTTGTTCGTCGGGGATGTCCGCTTATAAAGAACAGACACGGCGATGATCAAAACCACCCGGTGAAATTGTGGGACCCGGGGTGGGAGACACAGAGCTGGTGCGAGACGGATCGCAAGTTACGTAAAAGCAAGGAAACGCGCAAAGCTCGTGTTACGTTCGTTTCGAAGCTGCGTAACCCATCGTACGGTGCGTACGAGTCCTCGTGATCGAACATAATTCGCGATGCAATTCGGAGCAATTTTGTTCAAACCGGATATTCCGATGATTCGGGAGAAAATTTATCGACAAAATATTTTCGTGAATTTCTTTATGAAACAATTATGTGACTTTCATCGTGATGTAACGTCGCTATCAAAATTGTTTCCAATCACTCGAATAGATAGAATGATCTCTTTTTGAGATTGAAAGATTAATTTTTTTTATTTCAAACGTGCACAGTTTTGTGGAAATTTAAATGAATATATTTTTAATATATTTATAATTTCTAATATATTTTTAGCATTATATTATATTATATTTATTTTATATATTATTATATTATTCATTTTAAAAATATTATACTATAAAAATAATAAAAAATATAATAAAATAAATATATAATAAAGTATAATATGATATATAATAAAAAATAATATACTATAATTTCATGTTTTAATTATTTATTATGATATAATAAAGATGCACGTAGCGCGAGTATGTGAGAAAGAAATGCTTCCGCAAGAGTGAATAAATAAGTGAGAGCGCGCACAGAAACCTGGAAATATAAATCTGGAACTATAAATTATACCGGATTATACTGACATATCAAAAAAATTACAAAAAAATGGATATTATACGAAGCGAAGCGAATTAATCTGTGCAGAATATTCGTTTGGATTCGATCAATGCTTAATTAAACGAAAGTTTCATTTCGAATACGCGTTACATATATTTAAGTTTAAAAAAATGTTTTTATTTATACATGTATGTGAGTGCATGAAAGTCTTTGAATTTGCATAGATAAATTATAGTAATTTCATTCCGTAGCGCATACATACAACGCTACAAAATAACTTCCGATTTCGGAGAGAAATTTGAGTTTCAACTGATTCTCATGCAAAAGGTCAGAGTTCTCTGCGAAATGCAAATTCATTATTTAAGCGTGATATGATGATACGGCGGACGCATATATAACGTAGTCACGCATGACGTAATTCGCGACTACCCTAAACACACACGTTCGTATTTTCGAGTAAAATTATTTCAGCCCCTAATTGATTGCTCGCAATCGTTAATGTGAATCAATGTTAGACCAGCGAAAATTTACATAAACACGAATGATAAATATCTCTAATTGTCTAACGCGTAAATGGTGCGTTATACGCGCGTAATTGCACATTGCGGAATTTATTTTCCCGTAAAAATATATAAAATATTATAAATTTATATATAAAATATTTTACACATCAATTAATACATTTATATTTCCCGAATAGTTTTCAGGGATTATAATAAGATTAGAATAAAAGAAATGTCGGTTAAAATCGATCTGGAAAAAATATAATTTATATAATTTATAATTAATTTATATAATTTCAGTTATAAATTATAAATAAATATATTATATATTATATATTATAAATATATTATAAATTATAAATAAATAAATTACAAATTTCAAAGAAAGTAAATATTAAACGCGACTTGTTATGAGAACTTCGATTCGAGACGGATATCGGTTGCGTATAGGTTGCTGATCTTGCAAGGTTTTCCTGTTTTCAGATCAATTATAAAGTTTCTTAAATGAACAAGTGTCTCAGTGTTAAGACCAAGGTAATGATCGAGACCATGTCGTACATTGCATGCTTAGTTGCAATTATCTCTCCCCCTCCTTCTCTTCGTCTGATCGCGAATCGGTGGGACTACCGGCGTTACACAGGAAGTAGTGCAAGTTGCATACTTAAAATATCCATCATACAGGGAGAAAGCGTTTCGTAACTCTTACACACACATTACAACCTTGTATGGGGGCAGGCGAAAAAAAGTGAGAAAAAAAGAAATTAAAATAAAAGGTGATCCAGGAGAGACCACATTTCCATCGAATTCGCCAATATCCGATATTTCGATTACGTAAAATATATCGATGCTTCCCGTCGAATGACTTTTACCTCATCGTCATGTAAGCTCATTAAAGTGCGAGTTATTTGCGCTTGATATTTACGGTTCGGTAATAAATTTAATAAACTTCGAAGAAAAAGTATTAGGATTCAATAAGAACTTTTTATGATATAATATTATATAAGAATAAGGCAAGCATTGTAAGTGATTTTAATTAATTAGTGATTATTTTTTTTTTTTGAGTATAGTTGAGGCAACGTCTTACATGATTTATTTTAATTACATGAATATTTTCTGTTTCTTTTCTTTTTTATTTTATTATAAATATATATTTTATATATATTTATAATAAAATAAATATATAAATATTATATATATTTATATATAATTAACTCCAAAAGTATATGTGTAAAAAAATAATATTAAATAGTAAATATATTTTTTAAATAAAAAGGTAGAAATCATTAAATGCTATTGTTTAATATTGTTTAATGCTATTGTTGATAAAAATTTTTAATAAAAGAAAGGAAAAGAAAAAGATCTTTAAATTATTTATTTAAATGTTATTTAAATGTTAGCTTATGCAATCACAGACTTAAATGTAGTCTTTTACATCAAGTATCTTGATAATTACCATCTATGATCGAAAGCATTAGCGCGTGAAAGTCAATTGGCGCAACAATTCTGATGGAAATGATGACCTGGTCAGTTCACGATTGGAGAAAATAGACGGCGTGATCGATGAAAGTCAAACGTTGGAGCAGGTCCAACGGGTCTCCGATCGGGACGACGTAATCGAGAGTAAAAAATGCTTAATTAAGCGACGATTTGCGAACCGGAAAGGCGATGCCGGATCAGTTGCTGCTGTTATATTATACCACGTTTTCTGGTTTACGATTATATAAGAGGCGGTTCCGTTAAGGAAGGGAAACGCTATCCCCGCTGTTGCACAGATATGATTATGCTTCACGTTTTCATTCCCTTTTTACGTAACTGCTCGTAACGTGAAGGCGAAGCAATATAATGCCAGATGATTATTTGATTATGTATCTACGCTTTACGGTATGTTTTCTGTGCTTGCGTATTATGTATACAATAGATAATAATTACTAAGCATTTTCTACATAAATGAAGTAATAAGCGCTTAAAATAGATCATTCGAGACAATCAATAATATTTCTGGATGTCAACCTTATGAAAAATTTAAAAATATCTATAAAAATTTTATTTCCTTTTAATACACCACATATATCGCTTTCTTTTATTCTAAATTAAATTATAAAAATTATTTCTTCTATATTTTAATTATAATATACAGTTATTTATAGAGAAAAATTATAATATACATAAATATTTAAATTCTATTTTAATACAGAAAGAAACTTGGATATTGTACATTATATATTACAACATATATTACATACAAGAAATATATAAGTAAAAAAAAATTATTTTTTTATTATATTTATTTTACTTGAATAATTACTTGAATATTTTCTTTTTCTTTTCTTTAATTAACTTCAAAAGTATATGTGTAAAAAAATAATATTAAGTAGTAAATATATTTTTCTAATAAAAAGGTAGAAATCATTAAATGCTATTGTTTAATATTAATAAAAATTTTTAATAAAGAGAAGAAAAAAGTTATTTCAATGATAGTTTTAATGATAGTTTTATTATTACTTTTTAATTGTGTTCATGAGCATATTAAAATCTTATGAAACTTTCTTGACTTATTATTATTTATATATTACAGGATTATTTTTGATATTCTTTGATATGCAAATAAAATGTATATTTTTATTCGTGTGATTTCATATTTATACAGCCAACAAATATTACAAGATAGATAATATTTGTGTATGTTAAATTTTACAAAAAGAAAGTCTTTCATTCTTATTCAGATATTACTCCCATTCACATACTAAAGACATTCACATCTCATGATTGCATAAAGACAAATGCTCAATGGTATGTATAGATCCGCATTTTTCAGCAATCAAATGCACATTATTGTAAGCAAGATTGCACAATGGATTGCTATATTAAATACTTTGTTTAAAATATCAAAAATATTTTACTTCTTCTTCTTCAGTTTGGTAGTAACTTCAGACTGCGACTTTTGCCAGTCTAATGGTTTGCGACGATACATAGGCCATGGAGGTACAGTAATTAATGCCGCCATAACAAAACCAGCACCCAAAATGTATATCGTCTGTGAGAATTGTTGAATAACGTAACCCCAGATTAAACCAACCACCTGTAAACAGGGCGATATAAAGTCTTTGCACAAAATTACCAACATTTATGCTGCTTGTATTTTGAGAAAAATTGTATCTTACACCAAATAATGTTATTATAACCCGCGACAATTTCTCTGCTCTGGCTTGACCATCATAATCCTAAAACAAGTAATGATACATAAACGTAATATGAAATTTCCTCAGGAATATTCGTATGAATAATTCAGCAGAAAAATTCATATGTAAAAATAAACGTAAAGCGCTAAAATTTATTTATTTGTTAATGTAATTGTTAATGTAATTGTAAATAAATAAATTTACAATGTAATTATAAATAAATAAATATTTACAATGTAATTGTAAATAAATAAATTGTAAATAAATAAATAAATAATTACTACAGACTCTATCAAAGTTCATAATTAAATTAACATACGGTTAATATGACTCGACAACCTAACCTTATATTCCTTGTAATGAATTAACATGATATTGAACTAATCATGGAGGACACAATCGATTAATTATTTAATATAAACATTGCATTATTTACCATATGCGTTGGAATGGATTTGAAGTACTGCATCCATGCGCTCATTGTAAATAAATATAAGAACGTAGGCAAGGAACTGACACACACACTCACCCTTCCTTACGATTTTCACGGACGACAGACGTGTACAAGAAGTGCACGTGTCAAGTGCGCAGGCGCGAAAGTCGGCGCACGTGCCAGCTGTCAGATGCGGCGCAAATTTTAAAGCCAACTTCAAATAGATCTCTACACTCGTTTAAATGCGTAATGCGCGCTCTTTTATGTTTGTGCTAGTGTCGCGTACGGTCTAATGTGTTTAGAGATGTAATACATTGATATATCGTGCGTGCAGCTATTTTGCAAAATTACTCAACAACTCTTGACGGATATTTCTCGAGTGTCGATATATTATTTTTGGTACACTACTATGCGTTAGATCAGTCTATAATATAAGAGTTATGAATCTTAAGGATATTCCCAGAACATGAAACTCATAATGATATCATTATGACGTCATCATGATTTTATTTATCATTTAAAAGTTACCTAAAGAAAAATGATTAAAAAATGAATTAAAGATGACGAAAGGAATAATAAATTTTTAAGTTCAATAATCGCATTATATAATTTTAAAAAGATTATGTTGCTTAAATATAATTAAAATATACATGTATAATTAAATAAACAAGCCTATATTTAAAATATTGGGAATTTAATCAAAATTGTACAGAATGTCCTTACATATGTTTAGAATCTTCAGTATAATTTTTAAATCGATTCACTGAAGCGTTCACAAGTTATAAGGATTTTAATTTGCACCGAATTAACATCCCAGGTAGAATATGAAACTCATAATGACATCATGATGTCATCATGATTTTAATTATCACTTAAAAGTTACCTAAGCAAAAATGATTAAAAAATGAGTTAAAAATGACAAAAAGAATCATAAATTTTTAAGTTCAATAATCGCATTATATAATTTTAAAAAGATTATGTTGCTTAAATATAATTAAATATAATTAAATATTGCTTAAATATAATTAAAATATACATGAATAATTAAATAAACAAGTAATTGCGTAATATATATATATATATATATATATATATATATATATATATATAATGATATTATTATGATTGATTCTTAAGATTTCATGTGCGAAGTATATATATTCTCCAACAGAGTTTGCTAGAATTATTTAATATCAAAAATAAGTCACCAAAACATTGCCAAAAATATATCAAATGAGATCATTATGATATCATTATTTTTCTAAAATGACTTTTAGGTGACTTTTAGGTGACTTTTAAGACGTCATAATGATGTCATTATGAGTTTCATGTTCTACCTGGGATACTCTCTAAAAGTGAATCAGTGAAAATATCACTAATTTAAATAGTAAAATAAGATTTCATTGAGAATCAGTGAGTATTTTACTGATCTTCAGTGGAAACGCTTATTTCTTTGTTATTTTATCTTATATCTCACTGATTATGGTCAGTTAAAATAAAATTCACTGTAAAATCAGTAAATTTTATTGTAAAACCAGTAATCGCTAGATTTATTTATCGCTACGATCGCTATCTCTCTCGTATTTAATTTTAGTTATAAGAATTATATAAAGTTTGTAAAGAGCGACATTTAAGATTAGAAATATTACTTCGATTTAATTTCTGATATAATTTCAATGGAGAGGCTTCAGATATTAAATCGATCTTTATAAGTCTGATAAATAAATGTCTGGCGACTTAATAAAAATTATTCGTTCGTTATCTATTTAAAATAACAAGTTCAATATGCATGTAATATAAATAAAATAAAATTTTTAATATAATAAATATTTATTAAATATAAATAAAATCTTTAATTTTATATGAAATAGATAGAGAGATGAATTATAGTTTAATATTACTGATATTGAGAAATATTACTGATTGGAACAGTCAAAATTAACTGATTCTTTCAATAAAATATCACTAATTTACAATGCTGTACTTAAGCGCGTAAATTGCGCCATTTTGAAAAAGTAGATTCTTATAGAATTACACACAAGTATGTATAAGAAATAAATTTACTCAGTCATTCCATTCGCCGCTGCCATCCCTACTTTGATGATGATGAATTCATTCGGATTTCACTTGCAAAGTGTCAATTTCTAAAATTCCATACGCGAGTCGATTATTAAACGTCCGGTATTAGAGTCGACATTTCTGATGATAAATCGCAGATGATATTTGCAGGTGATATTTTGTCACGATAACTTGGAATCGTAATTTAAATATGATAAAAATGATTCTCACGATGGTAACATCGTATAATTAATCAGTATAATTAATTACTACGACCAATTTTGATTCGACACTCACGATGATTGTGCTTACATCTGCACTAACGTCCCACCATGATTAATCACTGTTACAAAATAATACTGAGCATGTGTACCAAACATATGTATGTATTATGCGAATTAAATATGTCTATGACGCGAGTTATTCGAGCGCTAATTTCTATTAGCGAATTCTATTCGATGCACTAGTATGCATTAGCTAGTGAATTCGATTGGATCGTAAATTTGTAGACAGATCGCGTGCTCCCGTTGGATATAAGAAGATAATAAGAGGTAAAGAATTAGAATTCTTCTTTCTCTTTCTGTTTAATTAATATTATTTTGATTATTGGAACAAAATTTATTAATTTGAATTTTTGCGATTCTCACTCGTATCGTGAAAATTCTCTTTGCGTTATTTATGTATTCCATACAAATGTCGAAAATAAATCAATTATCTATCATAAATATCAGTTGAGTTTTTTTCATAATAAGCAAGATAATTATGTTGATTCTCTATTATCCTTAATTATTCTTAATGCTTCTAAAAATAAAAAACCATCTAGATACTAGTCTACGATCGACATTGCATGTTTAAAAGTATGTATAAAATCATTTATACAAAATTAAAAAATTATATATATACAATATATAAATATAAAATAATTTTTGTCATTAGCTATCAATAAATGTGATATTTATGATAGATAATTGATTTATTTTCGACATTGTATGATATTATATAATATATATATATATACATATATATAATATATATAATATATATAATATAGAGAGAGAAAAATTCGAACTAGATAATACTGAGCGAAATATTATTACTATTATTACTATTATTATTAATATAAAGAATGTCGTATTTGAGAGAGGAAAAAAGAAACGAGAGGAGAGAGAGAGAGAGAGAGAGAGAGTATAAAATATAAAATATAATATAAAATACAACACTTACAAGGTCTACGTATATTGCTTGACCTTGTTATTTCGCAATAAATTATTTAAACAACGTAAAAATTAAACATTCACATTACATATAATTCCCATTATATATATATGCAATGTAAATATTTTTAAAAATCAAGAATAAGGTCGAACATTATACAGGGTGGGGAAAAAGTATGGAAGCAAACAATTATTTCCGAAACTATTCATTTTTCGACAAAATGTCTTAGACATAATTTTTATGGTATGAAAAGATGTATTATGTTGCATAGACGGCATGACCTTGAAATGACCCTTACAAGCTGCATACAAATAACGTAAAAAATTTCAAATGGAACTCGTCAGTTTTTGTTACAGATTCTTGTAGCTGATGTCGAAATGTTTACAAAACACTGCATATGAGCCCCATTCCCTTAAAAACACTCCCAGTTACGAAACAATTGTGATAATTCGTATCGACGAAATTGAATCTTTCATTCTCACCCCAACCACGCATCATCAACAGCGATATTCACTCTCGTTCTGTTAATCGGGCCATCATGAAAATAACATTTGAAATTACAGAAATGAAAATCAGTAACATTTCCTATGATAGAAAACGACAAAAATAGCAAATTTTCAAAACACAATATCCGAAACTTATATGCCAATTGACACTACTTTTTTAAGGATAAAATAAATGATAATAATAAATAAGGTAGCGATGATCAAGAAATCAAAAAAATTCTATGAATACTCATAGACAGTGTATCATATGACAACAGGTACAATTACATGTTATTAGTGGACGCAACTGAACGTCATGATGCGAAATCAGTAAGCAATGTCAATGTGCATACAAATTGTTTGTATCACAATTGTTTCGTAACTGGGAGTGTTTTTAAGGAAATGGGGCTCATATGCAGTGTTTTGTAAACGTTTCGACATCAGCTACAAGAATCTGTAACAAAAACTGACGAGTTCCATTTGAAATTTTTTATGTTATTTGTATGCAGCTTGTAAGGGTCATTTCAAGGTCATGCCGTCTATGCCACATAATATATCTTTTCATACCATAAAAATTATGTCTAAGACATTTTGTCGAAAAATGAATAGTTTCGGAAATAATTGTTTGCTTCCATACTTTTTCCCCACCCTGTATATTAATCTTGATTGTACAGCTTTGTAAAAATGATATATAATTTTTGGATCTTAACTTAATTATAACTTTTAATTTTAATATTCTATAAGAAAAGCCGTATAGTATATTAAAATTAAGTATAATAAATTATAATACGATAAAGTTATAATAAATAGATAATTCTGCTATATAAAATGTTATATCTAGCAATCCTAACAATCCTAAACAATTTTCGTGTCCTAACAATCCTACTAAGGGATCCTAATTATAAGGATTTTATTACATCAACGCAGTATTTCTTTATTTTTCGCGAGTTTCTGAATTTATTTTTATATATTATTATTTATTTTATGCGTATCCGTTTATTTTATCCGTTTAATTTACGCGTTTATTATTTGCCATTGCACGTTTTTAGATTAATTTACTTTTCGAATATCCAGGCATTTGACTATTTTTAGCCAAGGATAAAGTAGCTTTGACCTGTATCATAGGTCAATGAAGGAGATAAACTCCTTCCGTTGCCGGTTACTTATTTTCACCGGTATATGAGCATAATTTTACGCTCATTTACAGTCGTAATATTATGACCGTTTGTTATCATCTTAATATAACTTTGCTTTAATTAATATAATGCTATATAGTGTCAAATTAATCAAAATTAAATGATTGCAATTTTTACAATATATAATATTATTTATAATAAAAAATGTAAAATAAAGATTTACGATAAAATAAATTAATTCCACATTATTTATACATTTTCTACTAAATTTTC